ATGAAAAAAAGAAGAAAACAAACCAGAAAACCGTGGAGACATCAGGGAATCAAACTCAATGAGAAAGGCTCAGAGAGACGAAGTGGAGGAAGATTGAAGAGGTTTGAGGAAGACCAAGCAAAGAGGAACTGAAGAGAGAGGGCTTTTAAACAAGACTGAGACAAAGAGAGGGCTAATGAGGAAAAGAGGAGCAGTTGTGCACATAGCAAGAGAGGAAAAGAGCTAGGGAAAAAAGGAGAACATAAGAGGGCAGCAGGGGGCAACAAATAGAAACCAAGAAAACTGAAAATAACTGGAAAAACACAACAAAATAAGAATTAAACCCTTTAAACTAGAAAACAATGAGTAAAGCTAAACTGGATACTCAAAGAAAACAAAACAGAACCAAGACTGAAACATTAACAAAGAATTAATCAGAGAACAGAACAAAAATTAAAATTAAACCACTAAAATCTAGAAAACAAGGAGTAAAGTAAAACTGAAGACTCAAAGAAAACATTACAGAGCCAAGACTAAGACAGTAACTGAGGAAAAACCAAAGAACACAATAAACTAAGAATTAACCCACTAAAACCAGAAAACAAGGAGCAAAGCAAAACTGGATACTCAAAAGAAAAAACATAACAGAAACAGAAATCTGACAATATTCATGAGACACAAAGTCATATTCATGAGAAGCAAAGTCATAATTACGAGATGCAAAGTCATAATTACGAGATGCAAAGTCATAATCATAAGACGCAAAGTCATAATCATAAGACGCAAAGTCGTGATTATGACTTTGCATCTCTTTTTTATGCCACTGAAAAAGAAAATAGACACAAGGAGCTATTTTAACAGTCAGACAGTAACTTAGGATTACATACAATGCTATGTTTGATGTAATCCTTTAATATTAAAAACACACTTGTATAATAGTAACATTATATGATTATAGGAGACAGAGATATCCAGTAATAATGGTGCAGGGCAGCTTGAAGGTGAAGCACCTGGCCCTTCAGTGCTTCAGATGGGGTCTAAATGATTTTAGAAATTAAGGAGCAAACTTTTTTTTATTTATATACAATATAAATATAAATTTGTATTTGATAAGGCCTAATTAAGGAAACTGAAACAATGTGTGGTGATGTTGCATCACAGGCATAGAAGAGAAGCTTAATTTAGTTTAGTATGAGTAATTGGATTCTTTGATCTTTGCTGGAGCTCAGAAATGATGCCTTATGAATTTTAGTATAGTTTGGCTGATTAACATGTTTGGTTGGCTGTTATCTCCACTTCAGATGCATTATGTAAGAAATGTGTTTGCAATGTTACGATAAAAGTAGGGCTGCAACCAACGATTATTTAGCAAATCGATTAATCTGTCAATAATTTTTTTGGATGAATTGATTAATAATCGGATAGCCCAAGGTTCCTTAACAAGATTTTTTTTTTTTTTTTTATAAAACAGGTGAAACTTAAAAGTTTCCTATTGAGGAGTTCTGGATGGAGAAAATTGCCAGCTAGAAACATTATCTAAAATGCAAAATTGTTATATATGTTTTTACAATTTTGATATAATTTCTGCTCTAAGTGGATCGCTCTGTCAGCTAAAGGCATGTTTTACAGTCTCTATATTGCTTTCAACGATTAATTGATTACTTAATTAATTGATGATTATTTCAAAAATTGATCAACCATGATTAATCCGATTAAGTGTTTCAGCCCTAGATAAAATACATGAAATGGGCAACACAGAGTAACTACAGCCCAGATGTTTGCCATCCCTTGAGTGTATTATTTTGCTTGTTTCATGATACAGAAAGAGCATAAGAGATAGGAGTGGGTTTTACCTCTATTACCTCTGAACAATTCTATATCTTCAAAAGAAATTACAGGATTAATCCACGCATAACAAACATATTTGTAATATATTTAGTTAAATAGGCACATATTTTCTTTTTGTCTGATTCGCTGGTAAGTTCAAATGCAAACCTTCTCAAAGTAGAAAAAAGTCCCAATTCCACATTCATCAGAGCCAGTGATGCTTCAAACACTGACAAACAGCATCTAGTGTGTGTAGTGCTTATGAAATTTCTATAAATGTCGCAGGAAATGCTGCTTTTCTCTTTAAACCAAATGCACCCTGATTTTCACGTCTAGCATAAAAAAAAGAGCATGCATATTTTTGCATAGGACCAATGACATCAGACCAATGAAACTTAAGACCAATAGTGTCCCTACCAAAGTTGAAATCAAACCTACGCTTTTAGTATAAGGAACAAACATAAGCAGAATGATGAAGACTTACACCTGACGATGTCTTACACCAGCAGCACCAGAGTAATGAGAACAGAAAAAATTGCTATATTTTATTAAAAGACAAAAAAATTTTAGCATCTGAATGTTTGACATTAGTTTCTCAATACAAAAGGAGGTACCGTACAAGTTTTAGATGACCACCTGGTGGCTGATGGTGAGTATTGACACAGATCTCTGGATTGGAGAATGGCCAAGATCCATGACACTGTTTCCATGGTTACTTTTGCAGCTGTTTTAGTTATCTGCCTGAGTTGTTGTGTTCCATATGTCAGAACTTTGATGATTGGGTTATCTCAGCTCATGCCATAGAGTGCTACGAGAAGGATTCGAGTTAAGGGGGGGATAAAGGGGGCATGGCATCCCCCTTCTTAAAAATTGTTAAAAAACCATCCCACTTTTTAAATGACTATCACCTGTAACATTTTATAACTGAATGTGTCAATATCTATTATATATTAAACAAAAAGTATCCATAACTTATCCAACGTATGCCAGCTTTTTTTGCCAGATTTTTAGGTACGTCAGGCATAGGCTGGTCTAAATCTTCAAGGTGTGACAGGGCCTTTACATAGATTAAGCATAAAGATCAGCACATTTTTGGTCCAATAACCCAACCAGCTGGGACATACTGATCGGCTTCTGTGCTTCTTAACATCATGCTTCTGCAACCCATCAATGGTTACACCCTTTTCCATTTAAAATGAAAATTGTCAATACTTTCCACAATGTTTGATAACACTTTGTTAACACATTAACACAAATTTTAATTGCCTCCTTAGACTTTTAACATTTATATCAAATGGCTGCATTTCATGAGAAATATTATAGGTTATTTCTCTTTTTTGTTGTTGCAAATAAACAGGATTTAATTATCCATCAGGACTTCTATGGTGTATTTTATCATGTTTCCCTTGAAAATAGAAGACTCTCTGAACAGCAAACATATATAAGGAGTGTGAAGTAGAATCATGTAAATCCAATAATCCTCTTATTTGCTCCTCCTTGAATATTAAGGGAAATACTGCAGTCAAGCAAATGTAACTTTTCTACATGTAGTAAAAAGAGCTTTACCTCCATCTGTTGGACAATAATGAGAACTGCACTTGGTAGGAATAATTTCATTAATGAGGTGTGAGTCTGTTAATCCCTAATATTACCTGCCTGTTGCATGTCCAAACGAATGTTTTCACAAGTAGTTTATCTAATTAGGACAGTCCCTCTGTCCGGATCAACAGTTAGCATCTTCATTATATACAAAAGAGAAATTTGAGAATGAAATGGGGGGAGTGGATGATTCCTAACAGTGAGTTCTCTGTGTTTTTTTATCGGGGGGCACTGTGTAATAGTTTGATATGGTTGGAGCTATGGATGTCTCTTAATCTGCAAACCGGTGTGAAGTAAATGATGTGATGATGTGGCATACCGGAATTGTATAAAATGCTTCTTTAATTAAGTCCTTTATGTGCTGCCTTTTGTAACTCTAGGCAACTTCTAGACTGAGAGAGATTACAATGTCTATCAAAATCTGTTGTCCTGTCTCATGGTTATTTAATATATATACACTCAACAAAAATATAAATGCAACACGTTTGATTTTGCTCCCATTTCTTATGGGATGAAAGGTCTCAAACTTTTTCCACATACATGATGTGACAATTTCCCTCAAATTCTGTTCACAAACCAGCAGTGTTGTATAGTAACGAAGTAAAAATACTTCACTACTGTACTTAAGTATATTTTGGAGTACTTTATACTTTCCGAGAGTATAAATTTTTTTGAGAACTTTCACTTTTACTTCACTACATTTACGAACTTAAATGCATTCTTTTACTCCGATACATTTAAAATTTTTTGGGGTAGTTACTAAGTAAAAAAAAACAAAACAAAAAAAAAAAACGAACGAACGAGAGAAACGCAGGTGTTTTGACCCCACCTATTGACTACAAAGTCAGGTCTTGCCTGGGCTTGTACATCAACACCAACAGGATATACCTGTTTCGCAAAGCCAGTCTAAATGTATCCTACACTTGGTTGTTTATATTATTTTAAGTGAATTTAACTTTCAAAGTTTACCAAAATGTAAAAAAAATGTCATTCAAACTGCACTTACTTTTTACCTATACTTTTCACTACATTAATTGAGTACATCTATTTTTAGAGTAATGCTTATACTTAAGTACAAGCCCTTTCAGATACTTTAAGACTTCTACTCAAGTAACATTTCAGTCAGTGACTTGAACTTTTAACAAAGTCATATTTTGGAGAGGTACTTATACTTTTACTTGACTCCGAGATTTCAGTACTTTATACAACACTGCAAACCAGTCTTAATCTGACACAATCCATCCCACCTCCCAGGTGTGCCATATCAAGATGCTGATTTGCGCACAGATGTGCTTTAGACTGTCCACAATAAAAGGCCACTCTGAAAGGTGCCTTTTTCTCACCCAGCACAATGCCACAGATGTAGAAAGATTTGAGGGAGTGTGCAATTGGCATGCTGACAACAGGAATGTCCAGTGCTTATGCTTATGTAACACTAAGCAACTTCTCTCAACTGAGTAAGATTAGTTTCTATCAAAATTTGTTGTCCTGTTTCATGCTTATTTATTACATCTATATTATGAAGTGTTATTTAATAAGTTTGTTTCAAGTGATATGTTCTCAGGAAAAGAACCAGAGAGAGTTTCAAGGTGTAAACGCATAGCTTTATTTAACACATTAATTTTAATGTACACATTTTTTTGTAAAGAAAAACATACACTACTTTAAGAAGCTTTTCATATGCTAGTAGCTTTTTAAATTGGGTTATAAAAAAACAGAAACAAAAAAAACCCCTGAATGTTGGAAACTGTAACTAAAATACAGTCATATGTTTACATTATCACTGCTTCTTACCTTTTATCACTGCTGCACTTTAAAAAATGAAAATGTACAAGAGCTGAACTTAATTTCTTTTTGTATACACTCTGTGTGTACCGGTACAAAATAAAAAAATTAAACTCTAAGTCTTTTCATGTACAATAAAACAGTCTTTAAAACATTTACTTATGTGAATAATGAAAAAAATACAGTTGAAAAATCTTTTAATATCAAAAATATTTACAATCCTTGAAAAAGCTAATGAGCCTTTTTATGCCTTCAGACTTCTACAGAAATATCCATTATATAGTATAGAGGTATATAGTACTTTAAAGGTAAACATTTTGCTTACAGACAAAAAATAGGACCTGCAAACACAAACATATCCCGTAGGCAGGCTAATTCTAGGTTTACCTTTTTTAAACACTTACTGTAGACCTCCTCCTTCCATGGGTCAACAGTAAGGATGCTATTCTGATTACTGTGCTGAATCTGAAAAACCTTAAGCTTTCCAGACATCAGTATATGACAAAAAAAAAACAACAACACATGAGTGATTAAATCTGGGTTACAGCCATCTAAAAAAATTATAAAATGTAAGCTATACAAACTTTCATTTGTGACATAATGCATGTGAAGAATTTAAGTACTTTTGTTAAATTTCTACTTGCAGCACTTTCTATCTGCATTTATGTATTTGCAGCAGGCTCTGTTTTTGCACTGTGTTTATGTAATTGCAGCAATTTTGCTACATTTAATTTTCTGTGATTATAGAATTCTTTTATGAGGCATTTTCCTTTTGCATTTGTTTTTAAGTCAAATTTTTGTTTTCTCAGCACTTTTGGTATTTGCAGCATATTTAGGAAAATGCAAGCATAGGGATAGAAATGAGCATTTTGTGAGATCTGATATATTTACAAAAATATAGCACTTTAATATGCGCTGGTCCATTTGAATAAAATTAATCAAAACCCAACCAACAAAGACTGAACCTAAATGATTGAATATGTTACGCCCTTTTTCTTCTGCTTGCAGTGTGTAATGAAGAATTAATGTTGACTTCACATGAAAGACTTGAAGAATGAAATCTTTTATCTTTATACATTTGATAAAAAGTTGACATTTAATTTTTTTTTTTCTGAAGCGCATTTTGAAGTTCAGCAGCTTCAGATTACAGCAGATAAACCCATTTTTTTTGCAGGTCTAGCTGGCATCATGTATCGGACTCTTTTCCAGAAGTGCGAGTTCCATTTAAGAGCTTTCCGTGAACCCTCTGGCCACCTGATGGGGGCGCTCTTACGGATAAGATGCTGCAGGCCTGGAGGAAGATGCCTGTATCCTTGCGGCCCAGTCTCCCCAAGTTGAATAAGAATCACACTTATCTCCCTCTGCACCAGTGCATGGTGGAGCCCAACCTGGAAAATATTTTTTAACATTAACTTCACCAGGTTTAAACTTATTTACTCATATATTTTTTGTTGTTGTTGTTTAAGATCTGCTGGAAGCAAAACTGACCAGTAGCCTCTGAAAATCAAATAGTTGCTTTGTGTTTTAAACAACTTCTGAGGGAACTGTTGCTATTTTATGCTTTATTTTTATTGATACTTTGATTTGGCTCAGAAAAGCAAATGTTTCAACTGGATTTACTGAAAAAAACAACAACCCTAAACAAAATGACCTCTTAAACGCAGAGTACTACCTGCCAGTCGAATCCTCCAATGACCAAGGTTTGGTCTGAGGCTGGATTTTTGATCACCTCAGATCCTGATTTTGGGGTTAAGATGACAATCAACCTCCTGCTTTGTTCAATGTAGCTCTCCACCATCTTCAAACGATCTGTTTGATCAGAAAAATTATTTTAGGTCTTGTGCATTTAATTTGGTGATGTGGACTAATTGTCTCACATAAGATGTTTTTTCCTGTATGTTAACCATTCAAATTTACATAATTCAATTTAATTCAATTCAGTTTATTTATATAGCGCCAATTCACAACACAAGTCATCTCAAGGCACTTTACAGTT